GGTGGATGAAGTTCTTCTGCCCTCAATTTCATTACTGGAATGTAACTCTAGTTTAGCAGAGGAACTGTGGGCCATGATGTGCCGCTTTCCTTATGAGCTTAGGTGAGTCAACCCATGCACAACACCATCAGTTATAGGCGTATTATTACCATTGCTTCATTCAAATCTGCTTTGCAAATTTAAAGAAAGAGGAATTTTTTCAGGAAACAATCACAGAACATCAATGCCTTTCATGTTATATGGTATACAGTATTTCCTTGAATAAGCGCCCACCCCAAGGCCAATATGTGAAGTAAGTGTTCTCTTCTGATAAGCGCCCCCCGCCCCCTCCCTCCTCTTCCCCTTCCTTTCTTAATGGTAGGGATACAAGGAAAACCAGCATCTATGGCTACTCTATTTTTTAACCTTTTAGGCTTTGACCACAGCAGAATCAGTAAAGGAAAATAGTTTCTTTTCCCTCAAGTCACTTGCAGTTCTTTGTATATCCATGTGCATGCTTGCAGAGTTCTACTATGTGCATTATCTCTTCTTTTGATTTTTGTCCTGTTGTCTGTGCTCCTTGTAAATGCCGTAAACTTCCCAGGAACAACTACACCCTTCAGTAGTTTGTTTATAAGGAAACATTACAAGCACCTCACTCAATGAAGTGCCCTCCTTCTAATAAGCACCCATCCTTTTAGCTGAAATTTGGACTAAAAATCATTGTGCATGTAAATCATGCAAATCATTTCAACTTGAAACACTCTCTTTAAGTTGATGGAAGTGTAGTTATGTGCATGAATGGTGGGCTGGCTTTCCTCTCATAGAGGAAATCAGCTTATTTGATTAACCACTCATGCTGCAAGCTTCCAATATCAAGTGTGGGTCTCTCGTGCTGTGACTGGAGAATACTGCCACTGCATTCGTTCATCCACAAACATATGCAGTTACTGTTCTTTATAAGGAGCACCACATTTCAGATCTGTAGAAATTGAAACTTCATGTCCCATAACTCACTAATTGATTTAGGTCTAATTCTGTAATAAAATTGTTGTTTGCATCAACCTGAAGTCAACTACAGTGGAATGAAATCCTATACCTACACTTATACATGAAAGGTGTAACTTAAGTAGTAGTAACAATTTTGTTACTGTAGCGTCATGTCTAAAATGTTTCTGGCAATAGTATATAATTTATTGTTAGTTTCAAGATGCAAATTATTTTGCATAAAAAATTAGTGAAGTGCAACATGTATCAAATGTGTGTTTGTTTCACTAGATATCGACTTTATGGTCAGTGGAAGAATGAATCATACAGCAGCCATCCTCGACTGGTTTTGGCCAAAGCTGCAACAATAAAGAGAGCAAAATACATCACAAAGTAAGTTGGTGTCACAAGCTCTATCCAATTATTGCTGTTACTTAAAAATTTGTTTTATTGTTATGTAGACCTGCTTCAGACTGCAGTGTTTTCGTGATTGTGTTTGCTGTGTTTCTGCTCCCCTCTATGTACCCTATGGTTCCCTTTGGTGTCTTCATAATCCTACAGATGTCGAAAGTCAATGTGAGGAGGACAAGCCAAACAGAGAGAGGTTCTTGTCGCTGGTGGCAGCTTCAGTGGTAGGTATCTGTTTCTTTTGTTACATAATTTTTAAAATTGTATGGTTGGTTCCAAGAGTAGGCTTGCCTGTGAATACAGCCGGTCTCTCCTCGCTCCTCTCTGCTAAGGACATTTTGCTAAGAGGGACATCTGTGCCTCAGCAACAGAAATTCCATGCTGATGATTAATAATCTGTCTGTAATCTGGTCAGCAGCTCTGATTGGTGGATGTAGCAGTTATATTGTTGTAGCTATTGTTTATGAATGTCAGACAAAAGACAAATGGGTACAAAGGTCAAATGTAAACACGATGAATCTGCTAGTAACAGTCAATATTTGTGGAATAAATACTTCTTTAGTAAAAGCATTTGAGTTTTCCTAGTGTTCATTTGCAAAAGAAGACAGAACTTTACCATAATTGACCAAGAGAAACATCAATTTATTAGATAAATTTACATTCGGAACCCAAAGATTACCGGATTATGTAAACATTGATTTATGTCATCAGTATAGAATTTCTGTTGCCAAGACATACTGATAATGATGGACTTGATTACTACTTAATAACAAGTCGTGAAAGCTACAAGGCAAAAGATTATGGTGATAAGAATACGTAAAGGTAGCGACAGAAAATGAATTAATACTAAATATGTCAAGGACTTTAAGCTGGCTAAATAAAGGGGCGGTATTTGCTAGATAGTGTGCTTTTGTTATGTGCCGCACTAGACACTTTTGCAAAAGGTAAATACAGTTTAGGTTGGAACAGTAGGTGGAGGACCGGGCGAGATTAATTTGAAAAAGTCATGTTTGTAACATTACTTACATGCACTTTTCAGATCAGTTTAGGTTTCTAGGTAACTGTCTACCTACCCCTCCCTGAAGCCAACATTAAGACTCACTTCTCACTTAGGGCATAATGTTGGCTTAGGAGAAGGGGTAGCTGGGCAGTTTCCTAGAAATCAGAATTGGTCCCACTTTTTTTCAGGGAGTTGTTCCAGAAGCTCTTCTCAAGGAACGCCTGGATGTGGAGACACTGGACACCCTGGGAATAATACAGTCTCAGAAAGCCTTCAATCAGAAATACGTCAGGACCAAGACTAAACTTTTGTGTGTATATCTTCTTGATATTTCTTAACTTTAATTACAGCCAACCTTTTGTCATCATGTTGAAGGTGAAAGGAAAACAAATCTGAGCTATTTGTCTTGTTGTCTGTTTGGCTGCTTCTAAATTGTTTTCAGCCTCATGAAACCCTCAGTTGCCATTAACTCTTTAAGCCCCAATATCCACATACAAATTCTCCAAACTGATCTGTATATATTTCCTGAGAGAATGTTTTGAGAGAATTTGATAAAAGATCAAAGCATTTTCCCTTTGGTGATCATTTTATTTATTCTCATAACCTAATCTCTTGACAATGTATGGATATTGTTAGGAGAAAATTGATGTTGGTCACTATTGGGACTTAAAGGGTTAAAAGACCTTTTGCATAAGTTGATCACATGATCAACTTGTGCCTCCCAGTCACGCTTAAATGTTTTCCATACTAGTAAATTTCGAAATGTTCAAACTGTCATGAAATATTTCCTTAAGCATTACAGGCTCAAATCTCCTTTTAATTAAACAACAGTTTAAAAATTTCGGAATTTACAAGGAATTGTATAGTGAATACATGAGAAAGATGATTTATCAGTCAGTGATGCAGGCTGCTCAGTACTCTACGCTGTTATTATCTTGTTGAGATAGGATTTTGAATACTTAACTTTTGAATACTGCTAAATAAACTGCACTTTGCTTTTGCTGTAGCTACAAGCAACAGAAATTTAATCTTTTGAGAGAGGAGAGTGAGGGATATGCCAAACTGGTCACGGAATTGGGTCAGGAGATAAGCCGACATGTTACCAGTGCCAGAGTACTGGAGAATATTAAATCTTTGATTGGTAAGAATGACAAATTCCATTGACTTTAGGAGTATTTACCTCGATTTCGAAGAATAATTGTTAATTATTCACCCACAGCCTGATGTGAATAGTCTGAAAGTAGGCAGTAGGGGAGAAAGGTGGAAGAAATGCTATGATTTCAAAGATGCATTTTCTCCATACTTTTCTGCATACAATTCCTGTCTTGTTGATGAAAACAATTTGTTCAACAATCAAGACTTTCTTTTTGTAGTGATCATTTCCCATATTCTCATTGACCTCTATGTTGGATAAAGCATTGATAAATTAGGGAGAAGTAAGATGCTGGTCAGGGTTTTAAGGGTTCACTGATACCCCTGTTAGACTGATACCTCCCTAAAATTAACACTTAGCAAGGCTCTGCTCTAAGGAAAATTGAAGGGTGCCGAGTGCTCTGAACCTGTAAAATCTAGAGTGCCCAGCATATGATTTGTATGGAAAATCTGAGATTTGCTAGTTGCCTGAGGGCAAAAATTGGGTGCCAGAGGCCACCGGGCTCTGCTTGAGCACAGCCCTTACCATCCAGTCATTTTCCTTCACTGTTTACAATCTGGAACATTTCTGAGACGAACAGTTCGTAGCAACACCAACAGTGTCTGTCTCAGAGTTGATTGTCAAAGTATTGTCTCAAGCAATAAAGGTATACTTTTTTATCCACAGGTCGTTTTAACTTGGATCCCAACAAAACTCTTGATGTACTTCTTGATTCATTTGAATGCCGCATAGATTTAGAGGACTTTTTTCTTCCGCTTTTAAAATCCTACATGGAAAAATGTGAATCCACTGCTCTCTGCCATATAATGGGATTCAAATTCCAGTTTTACAAGGTATGTGGACCAGGTTTTGTCAAAATATAAGGCACATCAGTGCTCCAAGCCCAACTATTTTTAAATCTCTCTTTTGAAGTACAGTTAAACCCTGCTTTATAGACACCTGCTTAATTCAGACACCTCATTATATTTCTTGCTATTTCTTGTGTATTTCACTTAATGAACTTCATAAAGATTGTCAATACAACTAATTAAGACCCTATGGCTTGCCACTTGATCACTGAACAGTTGTCACAAATTTAGAAACTCTCACACCAGTTTTACTTGCCAAGTGTTTTTTTAAATGACCAAAACTGCAGTCAAAGCATTGACTTATGGTTCAATGCTAATTTTGCCCAGCACATTTATACGTATAAAAGGAAAAGAAAAGAAAAAAACGTCTGGGATGATTAGGAAACACTAAAATCCCTGATCCCCTGGGATCTTCCAGATGTATGAAATCAAGGCTTGTGTCTGTTTACAAATTTTTGTTTTCTTTTTTAGGATCAACCAGATTTGCCTACCCCTCCATCACTTTATCATTTAACAGCATTGCTTATGAAGCACTCTCTACTGTCCCTGGATGATTTGTATCTTTATGTGAGTAAAGCATGTTATTCACCCTTTTATTCCTTATAGTGGCTCAAATAAATTAAAATTTCTTGTTGTAAAATCTGTAAAAATGAATTGCACTTCGCAAAAGTTCTGCCAAAGAGTTTTCAATTGAATGGTAACACAAGGATTTCGTCCACAGATTTAAAAGCTGGGTAAAAATCTTGTCATAACTAATAACTAGTCTAAGGGTTAAAGGGTTAGAAACAGTTGTAAAATGAGGTACTGTAGCATAACTTTCTCCATGTTTACAGTCTTGTAACTGTACCATATTTTTGTTCAGTAATTTTTTGTTTAATTTTTGCCTTTTTATGCACATCCACTTTTCCTGCTTATGAGACATCCTGTACATGTATGTTTTCCAGCTGAGTCCATCAGATGCAGACATAGCTACAAGTAATACAACAAAAATGGATGAAGCAAAGCAAGAAGCAAGAAAAATGAATATGGCAGTATTGGCTGTAAGTTTACAAACATTGCAAAGTTAGTCCTGAATTTTGGGGAATATTGACCTCTAGAAGGCATGAAGTTTGGACACGCTGAAAGCCAATTCCCATCGATAACTGTAGAAAATAAGGAATTTTTTTTTATCCTCAAATGGTGGTTTAAATCAAAATCTTTGACAGGTTGCAAAGAAAATTATTTTTACAGCAAGCTTAAGCAAGCATTTACTAGTGCATACGTCATTTCAACTAGCCCCGGATGCTTTTTGACAAGTAAAATTGATTTCATAGTTCTTCTGTTATTCGAATTGCTCAAGAACAACAGAATTCACTAGCCCGATAGCAAAATCCACTAGCCCCGGGCTATCAGACACTACTTTCTTTGCACGCTGTTTGAGACCCTGAAAACTATTTTAGCTGATGAGGATTAAAGTGATGGCGTGGTTTTTCTGCCCTAGATGATTTTGTTCTAGAATAGAGGTGCTGTACTATATTAATTTTGATGATGTAGCCTTTCTAACACTGTAACATCTGTCCATTTGTTGTCTGAAAGGAAATTGCTGCTGCAAACAATGAAGAAAGTAACAAAGAAAGCAGTAAAGAAAATGATAAGCCACAAATTGTAAGTACCTTTTTTGCTTGATAATAAATTTATGGCCTTGGTCATCTAAGTCTTAATCATAGACTGAAGAAACACCATAGTGCAGATTAAAGTTCATATGCCCTGTTCCATTCTCATCTCTCTGGTTTCTCTGCAACTCAGGCACTAACCACAAGGAGGTAAATTGGCACTGTGATTTCTAAAACTTTTTACCTAAAAGTTGATGGTGCCTATTCTAGAATGCTTTGCACAGCACGAAACGTCTCTTAGAGGGATCACATTACAAATGAAGATCTGTACGGTCACCTCCCAAAAGTTTCTAGCAAGATCAGGGAAAGAAGAATGAAGGTAATTAGGCATTGTGTTAGACACAGAGAGGAGGAGCAAGGCTGTGCTCTAACAAAAATTGAAGGGAGCCCAGTGCTCTGAACTTGTGAAATCCAGGGTGCCCAGCATATGATTTCTTTGAAAACAGCAAAGATTTTCCAGTCACCCGAGAACAAAAGTTAGGCGCCACGGGCCACCGGGCTCTGCCAGAGCACAGCGTTGAGGAGGCATCAAAGCTTGTGTTGTGGCAGCCACAACACGGACAAACTAAGAGAGGGAGACCTAAGACCACATACATACACACTTTGCTTGAAGACACTGGGTTTAACCACTATCAGAAAACTCAGAACACCAATGCTAGACCAAAGTGACCTGGAGAGCCGGAGATAGCTGGAGAGCTGGCGCTTGATCAAACTAACTTACCTAAATTGTTAATGATTTGCATTTTTTTCTGCAGGCACCAGATAATCAGAAATTTGGTGTATGTGAAGCACTACTGATGGTAGGAGGATGGGATCAAGCTCGCTCAGTACTTGAAAGACTACCACAGTTTGCTGCCGTCTCACATCCTCCTATATCCAAAGCATTGTGCAAGTTGATCCATACCACAATTGAACCACTCTACCGCAGGTTAGTTTTGTCATATTGTTTTATTTTATGTATCTATTTTTTTTTAATTTGCAACACACACAAAAAAATTAGCAAATGATATATAGTAAATTAATAGTGAAATAATAGTAGGAAACAGAAGTGGTGAAGTGAGGGGACCTAGCAGTACTGATAGGAGCTTATGAGAGATTAGGCTCTCCTTGTTTTTGTATTTGCCTAGAAGTTCAATCTTTAGTATTGATGTTTAATATTTTTGTAGTTTAAAGGTCAACAAGAGCTCATGGTTCAAGTAGCTTAATTTATAGAAGGAAAATAATAAAATATTGCACGGAAAATTTTTATAGTGTTGTATGATATCAGTACTTATTTTGTGTATATTTTATTTTGCACTGCAGCAGAGCTTAGTTAATGGAAGTGTTAAGAAAGAAGAGTTGTGCTCTTGTAGTGCCTTGTGACCCCTCCCCACCCTCCCTGTGATTTACCGGTACTTTCTCCGGTTGGTAACAGGCCCCTTGGATTTCATAAGCTCAACGCTTTTGTGCTCTCTACATTTGTCTATAAAGTAGCATGGCTCAAGCTAGTGTTTGATTACAGACTTTTCTCTCCCCTTACGTAATGTATGTGGTGTGGGGAAGATGAGTATGTGTAGTGTACAAAAAGCACGCATAATAAAGTATGTGCCAAGACTTTTTGTCCATGATTGTATGTATTTTACTGTTTTTTAGGCATTCTTCAAAGGCAGCCCGTGGACGCCCCTATGCTCCTGTCCCGGGAGGGCCACCTCAGTGTAAAGCCTTCACTGATTTGCCACACTGTGTATTTCCAATGCTGATTCATCTTGGCCCTCATCTGTCAAGCGATCCTATCCTCATGGCTAAGATTCTTCGGATTAGTAAAGGCTTCATGAAAGACGTAAGGCAATTTTTAGTTCAAAGGCTTTTTAAAGATTCAACGAGGAAATAGCCTGTGCCACAGATGGAACTAAACCTTGATTTATTTAGTAACTTCTGTGAAACAGCATGGAATTCTTATTCTGGGTCCTCACCTATGTACCAGGATTTTAGCATGTGCCATGATAGGCCTGTTAAAAACAGCCATTGTCGATTTTTCAATCAGGTTGAAGGGAATTTTGAAACCCACTTCCAGTAATTTGTTGAGTTTGTTGGAAGCCCAGAACAAGGATCGCGGCACTGCCTCACAGAGGTTACTAATCAGGGTTTAATTACATCTGTGACCCACTCTANGGGCCACCTCAGTGTAAAGCCTTCACTGATTTGCCACACTGTGTATTTCCAATGCTGATTCATCTTGGCCCTCATCTGTCAAGCGATCCTATCCTCATGGCTAAGATTCTTCGGATTAGTAAAGGCTTCATGAAAGACGTAAGGCAATTTTTAGTTCAAAGGCTTTTTAAAGATTCAACGAGGAAATAGCCTGTGCCACAGATGGAACTAAACCTTGATTTATTTAGTAACTTCTGTGAAACAGCATGGAATTCTTATTCTGGGTCCTCACCTATGTACCAGGATTTTAGCATGTGCCATGATAGGCCTGTTAAAAACAGCCATTGTCGATTTTTCAATCAGGTTGAAGGGAATTTTGAAACCCACTTCCAGTAATTTGTTGAGTTTGTTGGAAGCCCAGAACAAGGATCGCGGCACTGCCTCACAGAGGTTACTAATCAGGGTTTAATTACATCTGTGACCCACTCTAACGAGGAAAGAACTCTTGAAAAATTTCTCTGATTGAGGTTTTTCTAGACCTTATTTAGTAGATAATGATGTTACAGTGATTTTCACTTAGTGTCCTCAAATGATGTTTAATCAAAATCTTTGATAGTCATGAAAACAAGTTTGACTGATGAGGAAAAACTTACTGTAAATACTGACTCAAGCCTCATTTACGTGAAATCCTGATGAGTATCTGTTCTTTTCATTAGTATCCAAATGTATTTGAAGACAAGGAGCAGCGTTCATTGCAGGTACACATGTCATTCTTTAGTGTTACAGATGTACTTATAATGAGAATTAAGATTATCTATTGTTTATCCTAACAGTGTAGTGCTAGAGGAAAATTCATTGAAGGGCTATCATGTTAAGTTGTTGGCTAAAAAATTGGCTTATCATTTTCTTGTCTGGTCATCATGTATGACAGCAGATAGGATTTCATTTGACTTTGGGCATATTTCAGTTTGACATTGTCCGACAACAAATTGTTATTGTTTTTTTTGTAGCAATTTTTTTTATGAGTATGTGTTTTGCTGCTGAAGACTTTGATAAATATGCATTATGTCCACATTACTGTACTTGTGATGCTTGCCCTTAGATATTCTGCACCTTTAATGATAATAAAAAATATGATAATCTTTTTACAGGTTGAGAAAGTTTGGTGTGGTCTTCTAACGTTGGTGGATGAAGTTCTTCTGCCCTCAATTTCATTACTGGAATGTAACTCTAGTTTAGCAGAGGAACTGTGGGCCATGATGTGCCGCTTTCCTTATGAGCTTAGGTGAGTCAACCCATGCACAACACCATCAGTTATAGGCGTATTATTACCATTGCTTCATTCAAATCTGCTTTGCAAATTTAAAGAAAGAGGAATTTTTTCAGGAAACAATCACAGAACATCAATGCCTTTCATGTTATATGGTATACAGTATTTCCTTGAATAAGCGCCCACCCCAAGGCCAATATGTGAAGTAAGTGTTCTCTTCTGATAAGCGCCCCCCGCCCCCTCCCTCCTCTTCCCCTTCCTTTCTTAATGGTAGGGATACAAGGAAAACCAGCATCTATGGCTACTCTATTTTTTAACCTTTTAGGCTTTGACCACAGCAGAATCAGTAAAGGAAAATAGTTTCTTTTCCCTCAAGTCACTTGCAGTTCTTTGTATATCCATGTGCATGCTTGCAGAGTTCTACTATGTGCATTATCTCTTCTTTTGATTTTTGTCCTGTTGTCTGTGCTCCTTGTAAATGCCGTAAACTTCCCAGGAACAACTACACCCTTCAGTAGTTTGTTTATAAGGAAACATTACAAGCACCTCACTCAATGAAGTGCCCTCCTTCTAATAAGCACCCATCCTTTTAGCTGAAATTTGGACTAAAAATCATTGTGCATGTAAATCATGCAAATCATTTCAACTTGAAACACTCTCTTTAAGTTGATGGAAGTGTAGTTATGTGCATGAATGGTGGGCTGGCTTTCCTCTCATAGAGGAAATCAGCTTATTTGATTAACCACTCATGCTGCAAGCTTCCAATATCAAGTGTGGGTCTCTCGTGCTGTGACTGGAGAATACTGCCACTGCATTCGTTCATCCACAAACATATGCAGTTACTGTTCTTTATAAGGAGCACCACATTTCAGATCTGTAGAAATTGAAACTTCATGTCCCATAACTCACTAATTGATTTAGGTCTAATTCTGTAATAAAATTGTTGTTTGCATCAACCTGAAGTCAACTACAGTGGAATGAAATCCTATACCTACACTTATACATGAAAGGTGTAACTTAAGTAGTAGTAACAATTTTGTTACTGTAGCGTCATGTCTAAAATGTTTCTGGCAATAGTATATAATTTATTGTTAGTTTCAAGATGCAAATTATTTTGCATAAAAAATTAGTGAAGTGCAACATGTATCAAATGTGTGTTTGTTTCACTAGATATCGACTTTATGGTCAGTGGAAGAATGAATCATACAGCAGCCATCCTCGACTGGTTTTGGCCAAAGCTGCAACAATAAAGAGAGCAAAATACATCACAAAGTAAGTTGGTGTTCATTAAACAGCACCCATGGTTTTAGTTATTGCAGCCTGGATAACCAGTTGGTATGTTTTTTAACTTTCTGTATGGGTAATTCCCTAGTCTGACATTGCCTGACATTGCCTGTTTACAAGTGTGTGAACAATAACACACTGGGCTGTAAATAGTGGTTTTGCTCCATCTGAGGCTACTTAACGTTTTTCCAGTTAAGTACATACTATCTGTTGTTTCGATATTAACTTTCTTTGGTTCTAGCTATTGCTACAGTAACAGCAAGTCGTTGGTTTTTTTTCTGATCTGTTGGTAAAATCACATCACCATCTGCACTGTAGATGGCTCTATGAGAACTAATTACTCACTTACTTAAACAAATTTTTGAGGCATTCAAGAAGAGTGTGCTACATTCCTCTAGCCTGAAGTTTTGTTTTCTGGATATTGACCACATACGTGTAATAGTTCTTGGTTCAGAATGGGGAAAACATTAGTAACTGCTGTCAGTGTTGATGTGACTGCTGTTTTTGTGTTGTAGGAGACTAACAAAAGAAAATGTCAAACCATCTGGAAGGCAGATCGGAAAACTAAGCCACAGTAATCCAGGAATCTTGTTTGAATATGTGAGTTATCAAACGTGTTGTTCTGCCACATCCTAAAGTTGAAAACAAAGCAGGGCAGCATCTTTGGAATTTACACATCACAAGTTTTATGTTTTGTATATTATTCATGAATTAGGGCTAGGAGACAAAAGAAATTGAGAATCAATCTTGGTTAGAAAATTTTAACCTGAATTTAATTTTGACTTGTAACATAGCCACATAGCCATGTTGCTTTTGATTGGCCAAGTATTCTGCAGTTACTCCACGAAGGATCTGTTTATCAGACTAAAGGACCCCTTAAATCTGCTTGATCTTTTTGGTTTCAGCTCTTGTCACAGATTCAAAAGTATGATAACTTCATCGGCCCTGTTGTGGACTCCCTAAAGTACCTTACTCCTCTGGCCTATGATGTGTTAGCTTGTATCCTTGTTGTTTATGTATTTGATTTAAGGTAACCAGGTGTATATCATGGGAGAAATTGAATACTGGTCAGTGATAGGGCTCAAGGGCTTGAAAACCTACCGCCTACTACTTATTGTACAGTTGACTCTAAAAAGTACATCATTAGGACTGGCACTTAAATACCAGTTATCAACCGAGAGTGAGGACATAACATGGAAATCTCAGACTGAGGCTTTGAGGTCAATATATCAAGTGAAGTCTGAGATTTTCCAGTAATGACTGAGTGGACCAGGTTAATAAGTTATTTATTATATGCAAATTCAATAAAAAAAACACTGGAAGTAATTTTCAACTTCCCCTTGCGAGCGCACAGGGTCATTGAAGGTTGTGTTCACTGAACCAAAATAAACCGGTGATGCGATCGATACCACAAGATACAGTTTCTTTGACAATGAGACAATTTTTTCTCTTTATTACATCAAGATCTTGGCCAAATTTAACCACTTTAAAAAATTTCATAATGCCCGGTCAAGAAAGAAAACAAGAAAATCTTGCCAACTCGGCAGTTGGTCAGACAGTGCATACTATTGTAGCCATATACAATGCAATTAATATAAAAGTCCATCTAATTCTTAGAGTGGTGTCTGCTCTGATGAGTGTCAAAAATAATGACTGAAGCCTAGAATGGTAGGGACAAAAAGTCTATTTGTAGGTGTCTGTTTTTAGGTGGGTGTCCATCTTTTGGGGTGTCCCTGAAGGGAGTGTCAGCAGTTTATCCATTTGATTTATAATATGTAGTTGCAGGGGTTCATTTCCTTAACCTTTAGACAGATTGTATTATAGAAGCTCTGGCCAATCCTGAGAGAGAAAGATTAAAACATGAAGACACAAATATCTCTGAGTGGTTAAAAAGTATGCAGTAAACTGTAAATTGTCTGTTGATGCTACAATCAATAACTGTTTACTTATGAATGATAATTCACAATTATTGGACGAGGATTAGCAAAATATCGTGATTTGTCAGTGGCAAGCAGATCAATTATTTGCCAAAGGCTGAGGCAAATTATTGATCTGTGAGGCAGTGACAAATCACAATATTTTGTGATAACTGAGTTCAATAATTGTTTTATCATTAGATCAACAAGTTTGTTTTTTAAACTCTCAAAGGTTAGCGAAGCGATCTGCCATATTGACCCCAGAGCAATTGCAAGAAGGAGAAAAGCATGGTTTCATTTCTGCATGAGCACAATATTATTTGCAGCCAAACACAGTTGGACGACATTGCCTATGAGAAGACCATTATTTGTAGGCAGTTATTTAAAGGTCACATGGTGGGAGCCCAGTGCTCTGAACATGTAAAATCTAGGGTATCCAGTATATGATTGTGTGAAAGAAGGAAGATTTTCTATTCGCCTAAGAGCAAAAGGTGCCAAATGCCACCGGGCTCTGATAGAGCACTGCCCTGCATGCTCATGGTAGCCAGTGAAAATCACTGACACTCTGCCCTTGGCAACAGCCCTGTTTAATGTTTCTTAACACCAAAAAGGTTGAAGCCATTATGGAGAGTTTCAAGCTTTTTATTTTACATCCACTTATTACTTATCTGCACGTTGTTCTCCAGGCTTAGCAGTATTTTGTGGCACTGTTTTCCGCAAGTACTCCATCGAACTGACAGGTCTCCTGCAGTATGTCGCCAATCAACTCAAGGCAGGAAAGAGTTTTGATTTGCTGGTACTTAAGGAGGTGGTGCAGAAAATGTCAGGGATTGAGATTTCAGAAGAAGTGACAGCAGCTCAGCTAGAGGCTCTCTCAGGAGGAGAGTTACTCAGGGCCGAGGTAATCAGACAAATTAAGATATGTTTATTAAAGTTGGTTGACTGAAACTGATTCCAATTTATGACCCTCCACAAATTCCCTGCTATTTTGTTTAACAAAGAAAAGGGGAGTGTAAGAAATGCCTTAAATATCACTCAATCTAATGTTAAAGTACTTTATGTATAAAAATGAATGCACTTTTTTGAGTGTCAATGTATTTAGCCGCAAGTGCTAATTAAAGATGTTGTTTTGGTGTCTCTGGATGGATGTGGGACAGCTATATCCATATTGCCACCAAGCCACGAGGCGGTACCATAAATCCTCTATTAAGCACCCCATAGGGGCTTATTTATTTCAAACACATTTTAGGGGGTCTTAATAGAGATGGGGGGCTTATTTAATTAAGCAAAAACGTTGGTATCAGTTCTTTCATAAAGAAGGAGAATGCAAAGTGGAAAAGCTCAAGAACAAGAAGTTGGAAGTCATGCAGCCAAGGAAAAAAAAACAAATCCGAACTTCCAGCCGGTGAATAAACCATCAAAATAAACCTAGATCAATCCACACAAAGTTTTACAATCGTGATTGATTAATATGGTCTATCATTTATTGGTGAATAACAATAATAAGGTGGAGGGGAGGGGGCTTATTAACTTTCTTCCCCTGAAAAAGGAAGGCTTATTAGAGACGGGGGCTCATTCTGAGAGGGGGGTTTATAGAGTATTTTTTGGTATCTTCGTTTCTCAGTTATTTTAAGACCCCGAGTATTAGGCTGGCCCCGGGAATAGAACCTGCAACCTCCTGTTTTGCAGTCAAGCTCCCTACCAACTGCTCTAGTCCTTACTTGTTAAGGCAAACAGAAGGCAATTTATAACGCTAATCTAGCATTTGTTCTGTACTAAAAGTTCTCTTCCAAGCAGCTTTTCAATCATTGTAATTGCCCATTTATCCCTTTGTAGGGTGGATATTTTGGACAGATTAGAAACACCAAAAAATCTTCACAGAGGCTGCGTGACACACTGCTAGAAGGAAAGTTGGACCTACCACTCTGCTTGTTAATGGCGCAACAGCGAAATGGCATTGTGTTTTATGAAAATGCTGACAGACATTTGAAGCTTGTAGGAAAGCTTTATGATCAGGTATACACATGCAGTGTTGTCTATATCACGAAAGTGCCATATTTACTTTTCTGCCTGATTTCCAAACAATTTTCTTTATGAAGTATCCATGAGCATGGTGTGAAGAATGTCAGTTTTACAGCTTGCAATTCGGGCAAGCTCTGGCTAGCATGAACTAGCCCAAAAGTCATTTTAAATAGCCCCCCACCCCCAATACTTTTACCGAGCAGGATTGATAACAGTTTTTCTGTTATTTGAATTCCCCAACAAACTTTACTGCAGTCAAGATGCGCTTTATTTGAGAGTCAATGCATTTAGTACAAAAGTACTAAATAGGGACACTAGTTTTACGTGAGAAGACGGGACCGCCATTTTACGTGGTCATCCGAGGCACGCGAAGGTCCAGCCGCTTGCAGTGCAAAGGGAGTACCTTCATTTCTCAGTTATTTTAATACTCTGAGTACTGGTCCGGCCCTCGTAATCGAACCCGCGACCTCCCGCTTTGCAGGCAAGCGCTCTACCGACTGAGCTAATCCTGCCGCAGCTGATGGACACCTTTAAGACTAGCACTAAGTGTCTGTCTTAGAGAGATGTCTGTCTTATAGAGAGTCAAATAAATGGAGAAAAGAAAGGCAGGGACCAACTCTAGGCGTCCATTTTACAAACGCGTCTGTTTTGAGAGAGTTGATTGTAGCTCCATTAAAAAACCCCACTAGTCCTGGGCGTATTGGACACTACTTTCTTCACACGCAGATGAGTTTGAAAACCCCCAGCTCCATGAAAACTGTTCTAAGGATAATTCATAATCACAGCAACGTGTCTTATTTTTTTGTAGTGCCAAGATACACTTGTACAGTTTGGAGGATTCCTTGCTTCCCAGCTAACAGCTGAAGAGTATGATTCACACATTCCCTCTCTGGATGTCCTGGGCCAGTCTTATCACTTGACCCCCGATGCAGCTTTTTTTCTTTCAAGGCCCATGTTTGTCCATCAGATTGAGGTTTGTTCTTATGTTACTTTCATCAGACTATCAGTACACACGGCTTCAACTTTATTTTCTTTAGTCCAATAGCAAAGCTTTGCTGGTGAGAATTTTTTCACATAGAAGTGGTAAATTCACTGGCTATTTTCTGTCTTGGAGGGCGAGCGCTGGCCTGAGAAAACAGCCGACATTGCTCGACGCCACCTCTGGTTTCCCCGCGAAATAACGTCTGAGAAAAAAGTGCAGAAATTTCACATTGATTACACGTCACTACCCAGAACCGGGATAGTGACGCGTCATCAGAATGGAATAATAATTATTTCTACGCTCGTTTCTCTTACGTCATTTCGCTGGGAAACGAGCGGTAACATCGCGAAATGTTGGTGGATTTTTCAGCCTAGTCGAGAGCCTGTCCAAAAAGCGGGCTGGTTTCTTTTTAAACTCCTTGAAAGAAAAAAGTGAAAAAGCAGCTCGTTTAAAGGGAAGTCATTGTCAACATCCCAAAATAACTATGATCAAAAAGTTTGGATTTCACCTACCAGAACTTTGCAGTACTTTTTCTCATTACTATTGCAAAACACAGTCCGTACCTGAGAGCATTGAAATTTGTTTTATTTTTAATCCCCTTCCTTCTTTCCTTTGTCCGTCAGTATCTAGTTCTCCTTGGTGTTTTTGTTTAATTGTTGTGTTTATTTTTATTCTAGACAAAGTACGAGGAAGCCAAGAAGGCCATTGCTGCTAAAGGAAAACCACTCCAACAGAAGGTAAGTCTTCCCTCCACCCGCCACCTTCCTCGCGGGTTGCGATTTTCACGCGTGCTCGCGTATTCGCTCGCCCTGATGAAATTGACGGACTACTCGTGGTCTGACTCTACAAAAAATCCTCTCTTCCCTCCGCGTGTCACTTTACTCGCGTGTGGAAATTTTCACGCGCGCTCGCGTATTCGCTCGCCCTGATGTAACTCACATTCCTTCATTTTATTGCTTTCAGCAAATCTTGCAGTGCTACATTGATGCAGTGATTTTAGTCATGGAGCCGGTATTCCAGAGTGCTAGGACGATTATGGCACCCAAAATTTGGAACAGCATAAGGTGCAGATGACACCGAAGGTTTTTTTGTCTGTTTGTTTCTGTTTTCATCCATGAAACTAGTGTTTTGTGAGGGTTTCTTGTCATTATGACTAACCATTGAGTGTTATCAGTAGAAATTCATACGTTTGTTGTCCGTTTTTAGTCCTCAGTTGTACGTAACCTTCTGGGCGTTGTCCATGTACGATCTTTATGTCCCACTGGAAAGATATGAACAAGAACTGACGAAATTAAAACAACAGTTGACACAGCTGGATGACAATAAGGACATGGTATGTTATGGTAACAGATCGTTTCGCCCGAGAGTCGATTCACCTGAAGTTGTTTCGCCCATACGTAAGTCGATTCGCCCCGTTGTTCTTAAAGCCTGAAAAAAGTCCGTGAAAAGACATGTGGATCAACTTTTTCCAGTGAAAACTGCACACAAATTATATCAAAGATCGACACGATCGCTGCGGTACATGTAGACTTTATGTACACGGCTGCCTATTTACACTCTTTTAGTATCTCGTATATGATCGCTGGATCATTTTTAATAAGCCTTGTTACAGACTGTTGTTTGCCATCGTGCGAATCGACTTACGTCCAGACGAAACAACTTTGTGCTAATCGATTTTCGGGCGAAACGACCACAATCTAGTTGAATGCTTATAAAACATAAAAATTGTACTGAAAGAATCGCTGTCAACAACATTTTAAAGCCGAAAAAATTTCCAGAGCAACTAAACAGGTTGCCTTTTGTTACAATCATTTTGTTTTTCAGCCTGTAAGCAAGAAGAAGAAGGAGAAAGAAAGATGTTCTCTTTTATTTGAAAAATTGAAAGAGGAATTAAAACAACAAGAGGAACACAACCAGAGAGTAATGGCGTCACTGAAGCATGAGAGAGACTCGTGGCTTCCAGCGAGTAAGTTGTTCATACCGTCAGATTTCCCTGGATAAGCGCTGAAGCTTGTACCCCAAATTCCCTTTGTAGTTTCTGGACTGCAGAATTGCTTAATGTGATTTGTCTGTTAATTTTTGTGTTTCAGAAGCGACCAAAAGTGAAACCATCACACAGTTTCTTCAGCTTTGTATGTTTCCCAGATGTGTGTTTACAGCCAGCGATGCTGTATACTGCGCAAAGTTTGTTCACATGCTGCACAACCTTAAAACACCAAACTTTTCAACGCTTCTCTGCTTTGATCGAGTAAGTCACGTGGCGACTAAATTTCCTTGGAAAAATAAGAGAGACCGTTAGATTCGAGGACGAGGCCGGCGATTAAACTTAAAGTTTTTTCAGGTACTCTAAAAAAATATACTCCCTGGAATGCTTCGTTTTACTTCAATTTTTCAACAGAAAAGCTTATACGGTTAGTTTTACTGAAGGAGTTAAGCCCTCTCCCGATCTCAAAATGATGAAACTTCTAACATTTGATAACTAGTTTCTGCCACTACGACATTTTCGCTAAAACTCGTAGTAGATGACGGCCACCACATTTCCCCCCAAAATGGTGCTGGTTCACGCGCGTGTTCTACTTAGTGTTGAGAAAATCTCTCGAGTAGTCGGTCTCGTCTTAAAATCTAAAGTTCTCTAATATTCTCCTGAACAGAACCAAGAGTTACCACTGCTCATTAGTTTTCGCAGACTTCCTGGATTGGTTGATCCAGTAGATTAATTGTTTAATCAATCATTCAATCAACCAATCATACTTGATGACCAATTAACCTTCCTGGTAGAGGCATGCTTTTTAGAAGCTATAAACTGACAATATTGTGAGTTAATGTCGCTGTAATGTGGGTATTTTGCAACGCACAAAGTCTTGGTTTTGAAAGAAAACTCAAAATGCTTGTTTGGTAAGATAGAAAAACACCAAGGAAGTTATCATTAAATCTTACGGATCATGATTAGTAAAGACGCAGAAACAAAGTCGTAGTTACGTAAACGTAATTCATAACGTGTTGGAGCTGAAATGCGCAGTACATTTTACGTTCACTGATCAAAGAAAAAGAAAACAATTTTGGACTTTACTTGCAAAAGCCCCGTGTCTTCACTGATAAATGTTAAGTAACATGTTTGTTTTGTGTCACAAGGTATTTTCAGACATTTCCTACACAGTTGCAAGCTGTACAGAAAACGAAGCCAGTAGATATGGTAAGCTGTGTTTTGCATCGGTGATTGTGTTTCCAGAGGGACACGCAAGGTCCTGACAGAGTGATCTCTTGATTTCTTGTCTCCGTTCACTTTGTAGGTCGCTTTTTGTGTTCGATGCTTGAGATCGTGATGAGATGGCATGGTGATAAGAAGACTTACGAAAAGGTAAGTAACGCGACAAAAAGAAATAAAACCGCGTAACCTGAGTGTCAGGCGTTTCTGGGGTAAAAGGGCGAAGAGAGAAGCGAAAAGGGAAGATAGCGAGGCAGGGGGAGGGACATCCTTTCTCTCTCCACCCCTCCCCCCTTCCGCCCACTAAAATCACCTCTCTCCTAACCCCTAAGGAGGCCCTGATACTCAGTTTTAAACAACCTTATCTGGTTAAAAATTGTCAAGGTTTTGAAACTTGAGAGCTTGTTTCATCGAGGGTAAGTGGTAGAAAATTACAAAGAACACGAAGTAAAAAGAAAAAACTGGATCAAACTTTAGCGAAGCAAGTCTTGTCCTTTAGCGCCAATGTCAAAGACTTAAGCTGAGCACAATAAAACCGGAAATGTAAATTTTTTTTTTGGGGGGGGGGGATAGTAAGTTCCTGGTCTGCGTAGAAAGTGTTTTCACCTCGGCGCGACAAAAACTTTGCTACATCTGCAACTGCTTTTTCTATTAATTTTTTTTTTAATTGACTAGGTAATCGTCTTGCTGTTATCTTTTTATTCGTACCTTCGTCGTAAAGTTGGTATTTTACTAAAATGTAAAAAAGGGAAGTTAATTGAACGCTAAGCAGTATTTAGCCACATGTAACTTTTTCTGAAAATGTCGTTTCTTGGAATTGTGACGTTCAAACTTACATAAGTGAATGATTAAAATATACATTTTGCATACACAGACTGGCAATGAATTTAAATATGGCCGTTTATAGCTCCTTTTTATTAATTTTTTTTTTTAACAGGAATGTGGTAGTTACCCCGGATTTGTGACCGTTTTGAGGGCCACAAACAACGATAAAGCAGACCATTTAGACTACGAAAATTACAGGCATGTCTGTCACAAGTGGCAGTACAAACTTACTAAGGTAACCCTCCATTTTCAACAATGCCAATTAAGTGAGCCAAACCCTAATTTATTTCCTTCCCAGATGAACATCATTCGCCCCCCCCCAACCCCCACCCCNCTCCAATCATGTTTTTAGCTTGTCTCGTACGTCAGAATTCTGAAAAACGTGCGCTAAACCTCTCTCGTCTTTCCATGCCCTGGAGTGAAGGAAAAAGTCGTCCTGAAAATCCAGTTCACACTTTTTTTAGTGTAAACTAGCCCGTGTCCGTTAACCTATCCGTCCCGTTTACACTACACCATTTATTTTCAGAGTTGGTGTGTCTTATCTTCTGCAAAAATGCAAAGGGCGAAAAAATAAACACGAGGTGATATTTTGGGTTTATGAGTGCGTGTTGAGTTTGCTTCAGGTCAGCGTTTGATTTTCGCGTGCGCTGTTATGCATGTTGCTTTAAGAAAGCTGTTTTTCCTACAAAGATGTGCGACGTTTCTTCAAAGGGCACTTGTTCTGGCTGTTTATTTTTAATTTTGTTCTATTTGCAGATTTTACCGTTTTATCCAAAAGTTTTAAATCTCGGGCAAGCTTTGGAAAGAAGAATCGACAAAATCTGTGAAGAGGAGAAAGAGAAGCGGCAGGATATTTATACTCTCGCTGTGGGGTAAGAAAAGTCACACATGTAGACAGTTGTTTGTGCTTAATATGACCCTTTCCCCAGGGGTAAAGCCTGTTAGCCGAGGAATATAAAATTTATGAAGGAAGTATCCATGGAATCGTCAAAATGTTTAAAGGATGCGACCATGACAGCTAACAAGATGCTAACCAATCAGTAGAGTGGCTTTGACTTTGGCGAATTTTCCCGCGTAAAAGACGCACCTCACGCAGCTGAGAGCGCGGGAAAAAATTTGAGTGTGACCGCTTTTTTCTCGGAATCTAAAACACTACAGAAAAATTGCTTTTCATGCGGTGCGTGTAATTTCAGTAAGGAGTTACTGTGAAATTAAAAAAAATCTTAAGCTTGATTTATTCTTGTTTAATTTTAGGTATGCCGGTCGTTTGAAAGCGAAAAAGCGAGAGATGGTCGTTGAGAGCGACTTTCACCATAAAGAAAAGGTATTGAATCATAAGTTGTCACAAATAAACTTTTTCACGCGTGGCGACTTGTAATGTTTTTGTAACTTTTGAGTCTGACTGTGGATGAAATCCTATGGTTTGACCATTCAAATGAAGCCTCTTTAGCAGTAGTTGCACATGGTACTATTTGTTTTGTACAAAGTTCTAACTTTTGAGTCTGCTGATGAAATCCTATGGTGTGACCATTCAAATAAAACCTCTTCATTAGTATTTTCACATGATACTTGTTTTGTCTGTAGTTCCAACTTTTGAGTCTGTGTATGAAATCGTGGTATGACCATTCAAATGAATCCTCTTCAGCAGTTCGTTCACATGAAACCATATGTCTTTTAGTATTGTACAGAAAAAAATATGGAAATTTTTCCTGGTTGTTTTTTTAAGTTGGTCACTTTTGAAGAGTGGAAGGGCTAGTCTTAGAGTCCAACACATAAGTAAACTAAAAAAGAACGCTATTAAATGGCCGGGTTACTTTACTCTTTGTTGTTCCCCTCAAACAGATTTGATAATGAATTCTTTTTGGGTCTATTTGCTAAAATTTTGATTTTTTTTTGCAGCCCCCTGCAACTGCTCCTCCACCTTCAAGCCAAACTGATTCTGTCGCTGTTAAACAAGAAAAAACGGTGAGTTTTAAGGCGAAATTCGCGCCGTTTATTTTTCGTCATTATTTGGGGTGGATGCGATGTGATGGCGTTACGTTTCAAAAATGATGGATAGCGATGCTGATCAAAATACGTTTCGCATTCAGATAGTGGAGGATGACGCGAAATAGTGAGCGGAGTGGAAAAAAGCGCTGTTTTTTTCCTTTTAACTTTTGTTTCCGCTGTCCCACTATCCGAAGTTAAAACGCCTGGAAAAGGCTATCATTATCGTGACTTAAGTGGGCTTACTAAAAGTTATGTTTTTGTGTATTGTAGGTGAAAAAGAGGCTATTAATTAGTGAGAACGAACATGCTATACTTAAATTGCCAATCAGATTGTAATGTCTAATGCTTTGTTTTAGGAAACACAGCCAAATTCTTCAGTAAACACGGAGTCTACAAGTAAGTTAGTTTAATATTGTAAGTATTTGAGTATGAAAGTCTAGAATTTTGGATGAACTTCCCCAAGAGTTGGCAGAATTTTAAGCACGTGTAAAATAAGATTAAACGAAGACCACACTCTTAGCACAATTAAACAACATTACCACTGTATGAAACAGTCAGTGTAACAAAACAAACGTGGAATACAACAAAATCATATGAGAAAGTTCGCAACACATCATTTTGGGTAATGAGATCACTTAATGGTCTACGAGTTTGCAAACAAAAATCATGTTCAATTTCTATTTTTGTAGAGAGTGTGAAGAATGATTCGGATGTGAAACCCAAGACAACAGGTTTGAAGATTTTGTTTGCTTGAATTGTTATTGAAAACAAGTTAGAGTAATGTAGATTGGTGTAGTGCCTAGGAAGGCACACCCTGCGAGGAAAGCCTGGGTCCGAAACTGCATCTTAGCAACATGCAGGGCATGCTCAACAAAGATCTTAATATAGAATGAAGATGAAGTGCACTGTTGAAATACAAATTTAAACGAAGAGATGATCGTCGCAGTGGTAATTGCAATTTAAGCAATTGTAAATTAACCCGAAAAAATTTCGGGACTTCAACGGGATTCGAACCCATGTCCTCTGCGTAATATCTTAATAGATTCAAGCAGAGTCGTTCTCGAGTACGCCGAAATTGAGCAAGCGCAAGAAAAGCTCTACTGGCAGGGCCAGGAAGGTACAACTGAAGAAAGCTTTATTGCTGTTTTAGAACGTAGGATAAATGATTTATTACCTTGTATTTTTAGTGACAATCAAGAAAGAGCAGGATGGTTCAAAATCCTCCAGGTATGTATTGTACTGTCTTAGCTTGAGAAAGTAGCTGACGTTTCGCTATGTCACCACTGGTTTCCCCGCGAAATGACGTCTGAGAAACGAGTGCAGAAATTCCATACTGATGACGCGTCACTACCTGTACCCAGATCTAGGTAGTGACGCGTCATCAATATCGAATTTCTGGCCCGTTTCTCAGACGTCATTTCGCGAGGAAACCAGAGGTGGGGTCGCTTAATGTTGGCTGTTTTCTCAGGCTAATATTAGAGAGATTTAGAGTCAGCAAACAGCAAACGTAAGATTCAAGTTGAAAATTTCTCGTAGTAGAAAATAAGGAGTTAAATACTGTCCAGAATAATTCTCACGAGTAGAACTGGCTTGAAATTACTCATTTTTGTGTAGAAGTAATAAACAGTAAAGGGCACGTAAGGGAAAAACTTGGTCACGTGGTACAAATGAATGTTTTCCATTTCGCTTAAACGTGACTTAAAATCTCGCTACTGTCGCGGTTAAAACATGGCTTTCCCACGTGACAAAAATTCCTTTCACTTTGAGGGTAACCAACCATTCTTCTTTTCCAGTCCTAGCGCGACCAAGAGCGAAGGTGTTTCTTCGTCTCAGGAAAAGACCGCCGGCAAATCCAGTACAGGGTCATCCGGTAGCAAACCATCAGGGACCAGTACCCCTAGCGGCACATCCTCTTCACGGTCAGGTGCGAACGCTGAGTCGCCAAGCAGGAACGCAGCTGGGAACAAGTAAGATGGTTTTATTAAACAAAAGCGGGAAAACTCAGTTAGTTAAATTTCATCTTATTTACCCTATAAACAGCATCCTTTCTTTGCACTTTCCTTCTGAGTGTCTATTAAACTCCAATAAACGATGACTTCAAATCGCATTTTAATGTCATTACAGATCTTCAAACACAAGCGGCAGCTCCAGCCAGCAGGCTTCTAGGACGTCCGCAGCTAATGCGACCTCTAAGGGGACAAAAACTCCAACGAACGTCAAAACAGAAGGGACAACCAATGGAAATGATGTTTCTGTCAGCAAAAAATCGGACAGTAGGTGTGTGAGTCATGTATTGTAATAGCAAAGAGCATTTGAAGATGCTTTTGTCTTGGCTATCGACTGCAAAACATTGCACGTGCTGATGTAACACACGTGAATTCTCTGCTATTGCCCTAGCCGTAAACGATAAAAAGTTGGAAAAGAAGATTATTTTTCCTGGAATGTAACGTTTTCAATCACAGCCTTACCATGCAAATATCTCTCTTTTTCATCAAGAGAATAAACAAATGGAGTAAACCGCTTTTTTCTTTGCATTTCTCTTAAAATATTTCACAGTAAACAAAAGAATAAAGAAAAGGAGAAAGACAAGGAACAGAACGACAAACCCAAGGAAAAGGTAAAG